AGCCACTATTCATACTCTCAGTCCCTGATATAAAAAAAATCTAAAATCTAGGTTGCATTATGCTAACGCAATAGTTAACATGAACTAACAATAAAGTATAATTTTACAACATTTATTGCATTTATTATCTTGGTTAATGTTAATTTCTACATATCCACATGAAATACGAATGAAAATGAAACATAACATACATTACAAACATTAAAATAATTGCAACCAAAGCTAAAATTAATAAATTAAGGTGTCACTGTGCTTCATTTTAAACACTAAAATACTGCAATTGTTACTTTAGACATAAAAATAACTGCAAAAAAAAAGAATAAATAAACAAATAATTGTGCTACTTTTGAAATTTAAATAACTGCAAAAAAAATAAAAAATAAAGTTTCAGCTAAATGTCTCGTTGTGCCTCATTTTTAATATCAAAATATCCCAAATTTGTGTAACATTTTTAACATGAAATAAATGCAACCACAGGCAGTTAAGAAACGAACATTCAGCTGACTGTCAATGTTGCTTATTTTTAATATTAAAAATGTGTTTAAAAAAAACTTTGAATGCAACCTAAGCTTAAGATAAGAAACAAAAGTTTAGCTAAATGTCTCATTGCGTCTCAACTTTTAATATTAAAATGTTAAATTAAATTCTGAATATAAACATTTAGAAATGAAAATGTATATAAATCTGTACGTCAATAATGATTTTTAATGGCTTTGTTATGTAAGCATGTAATATGTGAAAATATCATAATATTTGAATATTAAAATGCATCGCTTAATTTCATACAGTATGTTACAGATATTCGCCTCTCTATCCACAAAAGGGTCCTTGCCTGAAAAATGCTGAAGACCCCTGATTTATACATCTATCCATCTGTCAATTTAGACCACATAATGATTCAAAAAAAAAGATTGGATTGGATTTGATTTTATACAAAAATATATATGATAATGTGGATAGCCATTACGGCAAAGAAAATCACACCTGTAATGTTGTCTGTCCATCAAGAAGGTTTTGAACTTCATTTTACCACCATACAGTAAACACAGTTAAAAATAGATATATCATACATCAAAGCAGATCCCATTTGAGCAGGGGAGCAAACTAAAGCTCCATTTGGAATATCAAGGGAACACACCCCTGATTCCTGGCTGCATTTAAAACACGGGCGGATTCATTTCTAGTGCATCTCTATGAACAAACTGCACATTTAATCAAATAACTAGACAAATAAAGCAATAAAAGAGTAAGTTATTAAGCTAAAATAAAAAAAGCCATTGCACAGAGGGGACACTCCTTCTACCTTACATTTCATTCTGTAACCTTACAGTTCAGCTTCATTTGCATGAATACAAACCAATAATATTTAACTCCACAGGGGACGAATATGTAACCGATTATTGATCAGATTGAAACGCATGCACGCGCTTGTAAACTATGCATTTTAATTAATTAGTGATTTGTTAAAATCGGTGACACATTTAACCCTTAATATGACTAAATATATACAATCCATGTAACGTATATTATACATAACCAACAGCTGGTTTAAGTAATGCGTCCATGCATGAAATAACGTAGGCTACTTACCTCCAACACACAGCAGTGACATCTCTTTATTTGTTAATATTCTCGTCCTTCTGCGTTATTTTAGATAATAAAACTGCTATTAAAACGAAGTATGGATTTTTTTTTTTACGTTGAGAAACCTCCCCTTCCCGTTATCAAACTCTACCCCAAAATATACAAAAATAACAGCAGCTGCTATTCCGAATCCTGCAGATAATTCAACCCGAGGGTGTTTTCAACCACCCTCTCGACGCGAACCGCTGTTAGCCGGGCTGTGTGTGATGTTTAGCGGTTTTTGCAGCCGCTCGTAACGCGACGCACAGCCATCTTGTTCAGCACCGCCGCCGCGAGGAGAGCTACTGCCGTGACGTCACTGCCAGCAGCAGAGCTCCTTTCACTCAGCGGAGGCGAACCAAAGTGTGTCTATGCATTTTAATTAATTAGTGATTTGTTAAAATCGGTGACACATTTAACCCTTAATATGACTAAATATATACAATCCATGTAACGTATATTATACATAACCAACAGCTGGTTTAAGTAATGCGTCCATGCATGAAATAACGTAGGCTACTTACCTCCAACACACAGCAGTGACATCTCTTTATTTATTAATATTCTCGTCCTTCTGCGTTATTTTAGATAATAAAACTGCTATTAAAACGAAGTATGGATTTTTTTTTTACGTTGAGAAACCTCCCCTTCCCGTTATCAAACTCTACCCCAAAATATACAAAAATAACAGCAGCTGCTATTCCGAATCCTGCAGATAATTCAACCCGAGGGTGTTTTCAACCACCCTCTCGACGCGAACCGCTGTTAGCCGGGCTGTGTGTGATGTTTAGCGGTTTTTGCAGCCGCTCGTAACGCGACGCACAGCCATCTTGTTCAGCACCGCCGCCGCGAGGAGAGCTACTGCCGTGACGTCACTGCCAGCAGCAGAGCTCCTCTCACTCAGCGGAGGCGAACCAAAGTGTGAACTGTCAATTAATAATGCTCGGCAATTACAAATATAGTTTTAATTGTAAATGAGTTTTTGGGGTCCGAGAGACTCCAATGCCTGCTTTTAATCCGTCGAAAAACCTACTTAAAGAAATAGTTCACCCTAAAATAAAAATTCCAAAATTGTCATAAATTACTCACCGACATGTTGTTCTAAACTCGTGTGACTTTCTGTCTTCGGTGAAACAAAAACGAAGAGTGAACAACGGCCTCAGACTCCATTAACTTGTCAAAAAATATGCTGTGAAAGTGAATGGTGACTGAGGCTGTTTGTCCGCAACATTATGTAACATCTCCTTTTCATGCCAATTCCTAATTTTATGAGAATATTAAATAAAAGAATAACGCTACAGAGACATTTTTACTGCAATTGTCTTTCAAAAACTGTGGTTGCAATTATAAAATATTAGCCTACTTTTTATAGGATTTAAAGTATTATGAGAATCATTTGTAGAATGCACAGTTGTGACTTATTAATCATTTTATATGACTTACATTCGTTTTGGCTGCATTCAGTAAGAGAAGATGGATAAAGTCATATTAAATTCTTAGGTCTGGAGGAAAATTTTGTTAATTTGATATATATATAAAAAAATTTTTTTTAAATGTATAATTGTTTTTTATTAAGGGAACACTTCCTTTTTTTCATTAGAGTACAGGACTATTCTTTATGTTGTGGCCAATGTCACCCTCTACTGGATAAACATACAACTCAAAGCTGAATAAATAATGGAATCATAAACAAAAAAAAAAGTAAATGTTATTGCCAGACTTTATTATCTTTTTTTCACCACAAGATTTTTTTCATATTAAAATAATTGATACAACCCCCCCATTCAAGTACATCACTAAAGCAGTGTACTCTTGACACCTGAAATATTTTAATGCTAGAATTCACCACCCTTTGCAATGCCAACTGACTTATGGTTCATTCCAAATGGAATGCAACAACTACAAAAAAACATTATTTAGGAATTAATTCAGAAAACATAATGATGAGGAATGTTACTCAATGTTTAGAGTAAAATTCATAAAATTCATGGAACAATTCTCAAGAGGTTCTTGCAATCCACAGCACTGTGCAGCAAGGGTTCAGGTCACCCAATGTAAAACGCTGCACTTTACATTTCAATACAACTTAATAAAGACAATATTACCTTGTAAAAAACATAGCATGCCTTTGAACCATGCTTTCCGTGATTCTAAATGGACTTAGTCTTTCAATTAACTGCTGTAATTGTCAAAACAGCAATATGATGCATTACATGTAAATGATTTTAGAATCCGCCGTCAACAGTGTTACAAATTAGCTTATTGGCGAGTAAAAATATCCAATTAAACCGTATGGCCCGTTACACCTTGTGAGGCAGAGCATGGGTGTCCTGGGCCTTCCAAATGCTTGGGACGTTTAGATCCCACCACAGCTATAGACATGTTTTCAAAGCTTCTCACTGGAGGAAAATAAAGAAGCAGAAAAAGATGTCTATCAGATAACAAGCTTACAAAGTCATAAATGAATCTCCAGCAGCATATGCACGATCTTATGCAGTTATGGACAGAAACAAAGTACTTTTACATTCATACTGTACTTGAGTATTTTTATTTTGGGAAACTTACACATTTCATTCAAAATTTTGTCATTTACACTTATTGGACCCTTGAATTATCAGCAATTTTTTGAATGTATATTTTTGTACAGGCCTATTTTTGTTGACATATTAGAGTCAAAAGTTTTTAAATAAAAGATTTTGAATATCTCTTTTTATCACTCCAAAACAAATCTGAAAAGACTGTTGACAGCCAGGAAAAAATGTTTTTTTATTTTTTTAATTAAAATGTTGTATAAAATTAGGCAAATAACTAATATAGCTAAAATAACATAACAAAAAACCCCTTTGTAAAAAACAAATTTCAATATTTTTTAAAGACATGTAACCTACCAAACAGATAAAGTGTAATAAAACAAATATTTTTGCAAAAAGTTTCCTTTCCACTAGTATGAAATAACATGTTATGAAAAGCCAAATAATAATAACAAAAAAGAAATAATGGAGAAAAAAAAAAGATTTGCCTGTTTTTACTTTTGATACTTAGTACAATAGTAATTAAGGGGACAGTTAACCCAAAAAATGAAAAATCTGTCATCAAGTCATGCTCAAGTTGTTCCAAAGCTTGCTTTCTTCTGCTGAACACAACAGAAGATATTTTGAAGAATGTTGGTAACTGAACAGTTGATGGTAGCCAGTAACTTATGGAAGTCAATGACTACCATCAACTGTTTGGTAGTTTCAAAGTGTCTTCAGTATTTTCATTTTTGGGAGTGAGCCTGTTATTACGAAATCTGTATTTTCCCTCAAGTACTTGATTTTTGTACTTCCTCCAGCACTTGTCTTATGGTGCATACTATTGCAAACCAGAGGCAGAAATAGTTACCTGTCTAGGTGAGCCAAGAGCTCTTGTAGCTTGAGGACTAAGGCGCGATGCTCATGAGGCCTGCTCTCTAAAGCACTACTCAAGCGACTCAGGTACGAGTCCAGCGTTCCAATCGATGGTGTCTCGCCTGTGCCTGAGAAAAAAACAAAGCTGTTTCTCACTGCAAAATAATCTATCAGGGTACTGGTATTATGGGCACTGTACAGTACTGACCTGGCAAAGGCACAGTGGCCAGGCTGTTGAGCAGTGTCTGTTTGATCGCCTGAAGGTGGCGCTGTAGAGCTTGCGTGCGCAGCTCATCCTGGCCCAGCTCAGCCTCCAGCCGCTCTTTAGCGCTGAACATGTCTGCAATGTGCTTCTGGAGAACCGCATTCTGCTCTTCGAACTCTACATTAGCCTTGCGCAGTCGCCGCAGCTCCGCTTCTCGTGCTGGGAAATGCGCAGTTTTAAGAATATAGCTTTCCATGTTTATGGTTTGTTCTAAGAAAGAAAAAAACAAAACCAAAAAAAAGCTTACCTTTGTTTTGGTCCAAAAATTCTTCTGTGAAAATAGGGACGTCAAATCTGGTCGTTAAGTCTGAGTTCTGAAGGAAATAGTTTCATGAGGCAGATTGCAAGAAAAATGTCCATGCTTACTACTTCAGGAATGGGGCGAGAATGTTTGAGAATTCAGGCTGTGTTTGTATACTTGCCTTAAAACCTGTAGATCCTGAACTGTTGGCATTGATAATGACAGAAGTCAACTCCTCTGTAAAACAAACAAACAAATGATTCTCTCTAAAACTAACACTTGCACCATTACTAATGTTGAATTGCACATTATAGCATACTCGTTAAAAAAAACAAACAACAATCACCAGAAAAGTGCATGCAAATAACACCCCCTAAAAAGAGAGAGAGAGAGAGAGAGAGAGCATTTTTACCTCTCTTAATTCTCTTGTCCTGAACTTTTGCACATGTGATCTGATAAGCTTCACTTTTCTGATACTCCCTGAGTTCTCGTGCATATTGCATTTTGTCCCTTTCGGCTTCATCTAGGTACCGCTGTTTAAAAAACAAACAAACAAAAAATTAATTAATTCATTTTCATCAGAAGGATGAGAATCCAAGGAATAGTTCACCCAAAAATGAAAGTTTG